ACAGTCATGGGCAATGTAAGTGAATTTCACTGACATGATGCTGAATAAAATTAACCAAACAAAAAATACATACTATATTACTCTACTTATATAAATTTCAAAAATAGGAAGAATCAACTCATGGTGATAGTCTTTAGCAAAAATGGGTAAGTTTGGGAGGGAAAGTTTGCTGGGAGGAAGCCTCTGGGTACTGAAAATCTTTTTTGCTTTTATCTGAATAGTGGTCATACAGATGAACAAATATATAAAATTTCATAAAATTTGTACCCTTTATTGAAGTATTAAATTATACTTCCATTTAAAAAGCAATTTGTTAAAAGGAGCAACAAGTATGCTCTGTATCAGGACATTTTTAGCACTTTTTTTTTCTTAAAGAGCCAGAAGGTAAATACTTTTAGCTTTGTGGGTCATAGGGTCTCTGTCACAGCTATTCACCTCTGTTGTGGAATGAGAGAAGCCATGCATGATACATAAACTCGTGACCATGACTATGTTCCAATAAAACTTTATTTATGGACATCAGCATTTAAGTTTCATCTAATTTCTACTTGTCATGAAATATTATTCTTCTTTGAATGTTTTTTCCCAACCATTTAAAATGTAAAAGCCATTCTTAGCTCATGATACAAAACTAGGCAATGGAAATTTGGGCATTTGGCACTACATTTGGACTGCAGGTTGTAGTTTGCCAACCTCTACCCTAAGGGTGTGTGTGTGAGAGAGAGAGAGAGAAATACTAGAAATGTATAAATGAATGTGGGTAGCAGTTCTGGAAAAGCTGCAGGCCAAATAGACGTGACATTCATTCATGTGTGGAAGATTTCTTTCGGGCTTTCTGTAGTTGTAGGGAAAGATAAAACGAGTCAGTGCTGCATGCTGATTGGTGACAGTGGTCAGTAACAGGAATGTATATTGTTATTGTCACACTATGATTTACTTGAAAGTAATATTGCACTGGGAATGTTATCATTAGACCACTCTGTATGCATTTAACATTTTTCTCCCTGCTGTGCTCTTTATTTACCTGATAATTTTCCTGCACACAGTGGTGAGAGTAATAATTTGGGATTTCAGGAAAATGGCACTAAATGCAGGCAGCTTGTGTATAGAATATCTAAAGTAAACTTTTCTCACTGGCCCGTCTCCAAAGCAGACTTTTTTTATGAACCTGTTTCTCTGTGGCTTGAAGGTATTCATGACAGTGATGGTAATAAGACTTGGCATTTATATGGCATTTTCTTTTTTTAAAGTGCTTTTCTCTCAAAAAACAAAACAAAAAAACTTAAGGGTATGTTTTAAGTCCATCTTCTTTTCAACGCAGTAGGAGCTACAATTTTTACTAACTCCAGAGAATTACAGTAGCCTTTTTGAAAACATGTACTTAGCTTGGTCACAGACAATCCTGGCTGTAAACAGCATTTTTCTTCAAAAACTGTGAAGTTCACCTTTTAAATTCTGTCTTTTCTGCTCTTCCATTGCACAAATTGCAGCTAATATATAATTGAAGCTTTATTCATCTAACCCAACAGTCTCATTGTAAAACTGGAATTACTTACATAGTTACATTAACAAAAATATTGTGTATCTGCTTAATCGGGATAATTATTTTACCATGCTGCCAAAATCTATTTAGTTCATATATAATAAGCACTAAGGGAGAGAGGAAGAATTAGACCTTCCTCAGAGAGCTCACAGCCCTGTGGGAGAGACAGATTTGGAGGATAGGTCCCAACTTAGTCCTTTATAGTTGTCTCCTTCTATCATACACTCCTACAAGCACACAGGTGCTAGCTGCTTAAAAATGGGGCCTGTTCCAAGAATGGCCTGGGATGATGCCCTGCTTTCTTGAAGTGGATTTCTCTTCTCCCTGGCACCAAATCCCTGCCACTCTCTTCTTCTGGCCTTTTGGTTTTAACCATCTGCTTATACACCTCCCTGGCTTACTACATTCAACTTCCAGTTTAACTCAGCTATGCACCCGCCTTGGTTTAAGCTCTGTTGAAGCATCAGGGAAAAGCATTGCTTCATTAGTTCTCAACACAAAGGACTATGATCGCCTGGCTGTCTGGCCTGGGGAGAAGGTTTTGAACATATACCACAAGTAGGGATAATACAATTCAGTTGACAATGACAACTCCACCAAAACACAGGGGAATAAGCCAAATTTCCCTTGTGGATATTGGTAATTGTCCCAACTTAATGGCTTTCTCAGTGAATAAATGTCTTCATCCAAAACAGAGAAAATAGAGACAATAGTCATGATTTTTGGCCTCTGTTTCCAGATTCAAACATATAGGAAGTGATTTTTCTTGTACATACATAAGCAAGTAGAGTTCAAAATCTTGTAGTCTATAGTTTGCTGTTCCATTGATAACTTCATCAATTGCTACATTGAAGTTTTGAAATCTGATGCCCTTAATATTTGAGTAGATGCCTATTCTCATCCTTCAAGCTCAGGAAGTTTCCCACTACTGAAAAGCTGTGTTTCCTTCCATAGACACAGCCTACTTTTGATTAAGTTGAGTGGAGTAGCCGAGCCAGCGAATAGAGCATCCAAAAGGATAATAACAATGACGTGTTCTCTTTGTGGCACTACATCAATTCAAGCAGGAAAATCAATGCACCTGGGGGGGAGAGTATAATACTATTCCAGCACCATTAATTCTCAGGAGGCAACAAAAATCACAGGGAGAAAAATCCACTCATTTTTGGCCATGTAAAGAAACAACAGGAGAGGTGGCTAATCCTGCCCTCAGACACTAAAAAGATAATGTCCATTTGAGAGGCATAGCCAGGTTTACTACAGCTATTGAAAGAAAAACCATGTATTTAAAGTACTGTGGGATTTTAAAAATCTTTGCCATCTTTGTTTTTATCACACTTTCTTTGGAAGGAAGGCTAGCTAGTGATGTTTTCCTTGCTTTCCTGGTAACAAAGCTTGAGAGATGGTGAGTTCTTGAAAGAGAAAGTTGTGTCATTTAAGCCAGAAATAGACCTTGTTGAAGTGAAGAGTTTCACTCATCTACCTTGTCTACTGAGCTGTGCAATTTCTATTACAACAAATCCTTGACTTTGAAGGTATCCTTTTTGTTAAAACTACTAAACAAAACTAACTTGAAAGCAAAAAATCTCTCTCTGGTCTCTCCGTGTTAAATGTAAATCCGGAGCAAGCTCAGAAGAATTAGGGAGGCTAATTCAGCCTCCCTCAGTAATGTACAAAGTCCTCCAAGAAAAGAGAACTCCTCCTTATAGTTCCCCTTATATTTAGTCATCTGTGCTATAATGATGGTTAGTAACAAATTGATCTAAAATTCTGTGTCTTAAAACAAACCTGCAGATTGGCTATACCTTCAACTGGGCTAGGATGGACTCCAGGTTCAAGATTTTAGTCTCTAAATTGCATTGAGTTCTCTTTCCACATGTCTCCACTCTCTCCTTGGACCAGTGGCTACCCAGAGTAGATTGCTCTCATGGTCATCACAAGAAAGCAAGAGGCTAAAATAAGCCATGCAATCACATTAACTAGTAAAGCCTGTGCTTATGTCGCACTTCATTGACTAAAACTAGTCACATGGCTAAGCCCAAATCCAAGACGTGAATAAATACACTCAGCTCACCACAAAGCCAGGGCAAGTATGTGGATAAAGAAGGAAATGAACAACAATCATCCCTTGGTGTTGGTTTCCAGGACTGCCTGTAGATACCTGGTGCTCAAATCCTTTAGACCTCCATATCTACGGGTTCCACATCTGTGGATATTAAGGGCCAACTATATTATGATCGGTGCTTGTCATTACCTGCCAAATGGTAATAGGGAGTGATTCTCTTTTGCTTATTTAGGGAAAAATATCTAGTTGCTCACCTGACCAGCCTCATTCCATCTTTTAAGGTCAATGGCGATTGACTGCTTTCATGGATCTTCATACAATTCATCTAAGTTAAAGAGAGAGGGAACATTTTCTTCGGTGTCTTCTAAAAAGCCAAGAGCTGTGCTGTCTGATACGGTAGCCACTAGGCATCTGAATTTATGCTAATTGAAATAAGCCTGTCAGAGAAAGACAACTAGCATATGATTTCACACATATGTGGAATCTAATGGACAAAAATGAACTAACAAGCAAAATAGTGACAGACTCATAGATAGAGAGTGGGCCGACAGCTGTTGGGGGGGGGGGGCTGGAGGGGGAGGTAGAGGGATTGAACAAAAAAGAAAAGAAAGAGAAAAGTCACATGGACAACAGTGTGGTGATTGCTGGGGGGAGGGGAGTAAGGGAGGTGGAGGAGGGTAAAGGGGGATAAATGGTGATGGACTTGGGGTGGTGAACACACAATACAGTGTATAGATGATGTGGTGTGGAATTGTGCACCTGAAACCTATATAATTTTGCTAATCAGTGTAACCCCAATAAATTCAATAAAAAGGAAAAAATACTTATAAAAATACATGAAATAATATTCATTTAAAATTAAGTAAAATTTAAATTGGAGCTTCTCAATTATAGTAGCCACATTTAAAGAACTCAGTAGTCATGTGTGGCTGTGGCTACCACACAGTGCAGCTCTATCTTATTACCCCAGTAATTGCCTTCATAGCACAAATCACACTTTAAAATCATCTATGTATTTGTAACCCTGTTTACTTTCTCTTGTGGTAGACTGAATGTTGACCCCTTAGAAAGATGTACACATACTAATTCCCAGAACTTGTAAATGTTACTTTATATGAAAAAAGGTACTTTCCAGATGTGATTAATAATCTTGAGTTGGGGAGATTATGGGTCCACCTAGATAACCCACAGTAATCACAAAGATCCCTATAAGAAGCAGGCAGAAGGCTCAGAGTCAGACAGAAGGTTATGTGATAATGGATAACAGAAGCAGCGAGACAGAGAGAAAGAGATTTGAAAATGAACAATTCCTGGCTATGAAGATAGACAGAAAGGGACATGAGCCATAGCATGTAGGAAGCTTCTAGAAAGGGCAAGGAAACAGATTCTTACCTGGAGCCTCCAGAAGGAACGCAGCCCTGTGAAGCCATTTTAGACATCTGACCTCTGAAACTGAGAGATAATAAGTTTGTGGTTATTTCATACAGCAGCATTGAGAAAATAATCCATTCTCCATTAACATGTAAGATCTATGCAGGAGTGACCTTGTCTGTTTCATTCACTATTAAATCTACAGCACTAAGCAATGATTAGCAGTTACATCTAATTATTTGAGAACTAATAAGTGTATGGAAAAAAAGCTAATATACACTCCAAAAGGTCCTTCTAAGATAAGATACCTTCCACAATCACATGCCACATATCCACATTCCTCACTACTGGAGGTCATCGTATTTTGCATGTTATTTCCAGAAAATCACTACTGGGAGACATTAGATAAAAATATAGAATACTGAATGAGAGGCCACCAAAATGAATTTATCAGTTAAGCCAATAGCAGAATAGACCCGCACAGAACAAAAAATAGTGAAGATTTCAAAACACAAGAGGGAGGGAAGGAAAGAGGGGAAAAGGAAGAGGGAGTCAGAATGAGACCAAATGCTTTGTGATAGGCACATCAATAACAATAAGCATGTGTCATGCACTTTCTAGCGGCAATTCACCTTTATATATTTTTTCTCATTTAAACTTTGAGCACTCTTATTAAGTGAGCAGGCGGATATTATGCTGTACAGAAACTGAAGCTCAAAGATGTTAACTGTCATGCTCTTGGTACTGGCAACTAGAAAGTAGCTCATATTCAAATCTTGTGACTTGAAACCTAGTTTTCTTTCCGCCACACTTGATATGACATCATGTGCAAAAGAATTGTGAAAGCTCTGGAAAAATCGACCATTTCGTCTCAAATTTAATTTAGCATTTTCCTGCTCAGTTTGAGACAAGGTATCTGGAAACTTTCAAGTGAAAAACCCCTGCAAAGAGAAGCTGGCCTCACACAGAATGGCTAAAATCACAACCCACCCCATCCTTGTCTAGATAATAAAATCCTTGCACATTTCAGAGCTTAGAGAAGCAGCCTGCATTGAAGAGCAGCCTGCCTGCAGCAGGATATTAGGAAGCAAAGAGGCATGATTGTTTTCAACAAAATATGAAGTTTAGTCCAGATATTTAGCTAATAAAAATAAATGGCTATATGTTATGTGGTTATATAAGTTACTATGTTGCAGCCTTGCTTTTGCTTCTTAGCCTGAGAAGCCTATAATATTTATTATATTTATTATCTTGGCCTTTAAGTAAAAGTTTGCCAATCCTTTTCCTAGATGAAAAGTGAACCACAGGCACTTGCTGTTTTGCTTTCAGCCTTACCAGAAAAATGAAAAATAAAGGCTCATATCAGTCCCCTCTCTATGATTTTCTATATGCTTCTTTATGATGCAGCTCCTTCAGCTTCATACAGAAAAAGCTTTTAATCTCTCTATGTGGGGTGGGGTGGGGGGGAGGAAGTATTTGGAAATCTTATGGCTGTGTAATGAATCATTACAAATTTAATTTCATAAAACAATAGTCATTCTTATCATTATCATTATCTCATACTTATGGAGGGTGATTAGGCTAAGCTAGGGGATTCTTACTAGGAGTCTCTCCATCTGATGAGACCTAAATCCATATCAAAAGCATCCTCTGAGATGTCTGGCACCTAAACTGGAAGACTTAAACAGCTTAGGAACAGAACACTTGGGACTTCTCTATCTCCGTGTGCTCTCTTCAGCATGGCGTCTTCTGGTTAGCCCTGCGTCTTTCATGGTTTCTCCATGTTCCAAAGGTACAAGTCTAGAGAGAGAGAGAGCATGCCAGGTGGAAATTGTAGTGCCCTTTGGCCTATAACCTAGCCTTGATAATCATATTGTTAATTTTCCTTTTTTTCTATAACTTTTACTTTATTTATAAACTATGTGTGTAAATAATTTTTCCCTAAAGTTTTACATATGTCTCCTTTTCCCCCGCTTGACCTTCCCCCCCTAGTCATTCCCACCCCAGGCAAGCCCCCGCTGCCCCAGTGTCTGTGTCCACTGGTTATGCTAATATGCATGCTTACAAGTCCTTTGGTTGCTCTCTAACCCTGTCCCCTCCCCTGCCATTTGTCTCTGGATCTATTCTTGTTCCTCAAATTATGTTGATCATATTTCACATATGAGTGAGATCATGTGATATTTATCTTTCTCCAACTGGCTTATTTCGCTTAGCATAATGCTCTCCAGTTCCATCCATGCTGTTGCAAATGGTAAAAGCTCCTTCTTTTTTATAGCAACATAGTATTCCATTGTGTAGATGTACCACCGCTTTTTAATCCACTCATCTGCTGATGGGCACTTAGGCTGTTTCCAAATCTTAGCTATTGTAAATTGTGCTACTATGAACATAGGGGTGCATATATCCTTTCTGATTGGTGTTTTTGGTGTCTTGGGATATATTCCTAGAAGTGCGATTTCTGGGTCATTTTCTATTACAACCATATCAAATGTAGTGGATTAACAACACAAGTTTATTATTTTGCTATTTTGTAGGTCAAGTGTCCAGACATGCATGGCTGGTTCCGCGGCCCCCAGTCCCACCAACAATGTATGAGAGTTCAAATTTCTCCAAATCCTCACCAACACAGGTATGGTCTGGTGTTTTTTCGTTATTATTATAGCAATCCTCATGGTTGTGAAGTGGCATCCCATTGTAGTTGGGATTTGTGTTTCCCTAATGACTAATGATGTTGAGCATCTTTTTATGTACTTATTTGCCATCAGTATGTCATTTAGGGGGTGAAAAGGTCTATTTGAGTCCTCTGTTATTTTTTAATTGGGTTATTTAACTTTTTATTGTTGATTTATAAGAGTTTTTATATATTCTTAATCCTGGACCCTTAGCCGACAAATTTCTTGCAAATATTTTCTCTCACTCTATGGGTTGTCTTTTGCTTTCTTTTCTTCCAGTTTTATGGAGATATATTTGACATATAACATTGTGTAAGTGTAAGGTGTACAATGTGATGATTTGATACATGTATACATTTCAAAATGAGCACCACAATAAAGTCAGTTAACACATCTGTCACCTCACATAGTTCCCATTTTTGTGACAAAAAAACTTTTTAAATTTACTCTTAGCAACTCTTAAGTCTAAAGCACAGTATTGTTAAGTATAGTCATCATACTGTACATTATATATCAGAACTCATTTATGTTATAACTGGAAGTTTGTACTCTTTGACTATTTTCATCCATTTTCTTTATCCACTCATCTGTTGATGGACACTTAGATTGTTTCCATACCTTGGCTACTGTAAATAATGCTACAATGAGCATGGGAGTGCAGATATCTCTTCATCATAGTGATTTTGCTGCCTTTGGATATACACCCAGAAGTAGAATTGCTGGATAATATGATAATTCTATTTTTATTTTTTTGAGTAACCATCTTACAGTTCCATAGTGGCTGTACCAATTTACAATCCCACCAACAGTGCACGAGGGCTCCCTCCTCTCCACATCCTCACCAGCATTTGTTTTCCCCTTTTTTATAATAGCCATTCTAAAGGATGTGACCTCAGAGCTTATTGTGGTTCTGATTTGCATTTCCCTGATGATTAGAGATGTTAAACAACTTTTCATGTATTATTGAGCATTTGACTGTCTTCTTTGCAAAAAAAAAAAAAAAATGTCTATTCAGGTCCTTTGCCCATTTTAACTGGATTATTTAGTTTATCTGCTGAGTTGTATGTTTTTTTATATATATTTTTAATATTCACCCTTTATCAGACAGAAGGTTTGCAAATTATTTTCTCCCATTCCATAGGTTGACTTCTCATTGTAATTCTTTCTTTTAATGTGCAGAAGCTTTTTAGTTTGATGTAGGCCTACTTCTTTATTTTGTTGCTTGTGCTTTATGTGTTATATCTAATACGTGATTGTCAAGACAAATATCAAGGAGCTTTTTTCCCTATTTTTGTGGTTTCACACCTTATTTAATCCATTTTGAGTTCATTTTTGTGAGTGGTCTAAGACAGAAGTCCAGTTTCATTATTTTGTATGTGCATATCCAGTTCTTGGCTCCCTTGTCAAATATTAGTTGACCATGTAAGCATAGATTTCTGTGCTCTCAATTCTGTTCCTTGGATCTATGTGTCTTTTTTATGCTAATACCATTCTGTTTTGATTACTACAGATGAGTAATATAGTTTGAAATGTGTGATGCCTCCAGCTTTGTTCTTTCTCAGGATTACTTTGGCCATTCAGGATCTTTTGTGATTCCATACAAATCTTAGTATTTTTTTCTATTTCTGTAAAATATGCCATTGGAATTTTGGTAAGACTTACATTGAATCTATAGATGCTTTGAATAGTATACACATTTTAACAATACTAATTTTTATCCATCAAGAGAAGATATCTTTTACATTTTTAAATCCATGTCTTACTTCAGAATATAGATCTTTTACCTCGTTGGTTAAATTTATTCCTAAGTATTTTATTGTTTTTGATGCCTTTTCACTTTCTTGATCATCTCCTTTGAAGAACAAAAGCTTTTAATATCAATGAAGTTAAAATTGACTATTTTTCTTCTTGAGTTTGGATGTCATATCTAAGAAATGGTTGCCTAATCTAAGGTCATGAAAATTGTGTTTTCTTATAAATATTTTTGAAGTTTTAGTTCTTATATTTAAATCTGTGATCTAGCTGAGTTAATTTTTATATGGTATGAAGTAGGTTATCTAACTTCATTATTTTGCCTGTAGACATCCAGTTATTCCATCACCATTTGCTGAAAAGACTATTCTTTCCCCCCACTGAATGGTGTTGTTGCCCTTGTCAAAAGTCAACCCTCTGCCCTGGCCAATGTGGCTCAGTTGGTTGGAGCATCACTCCATACACCAAAATGTGGCAGGTTCAATCCCCGCTTGAGGCACATATGGGAGGCAACTGATCAATGTTTCTCTCTCTCTCTGCCCCCCTTCCTCTCTCGAAAACCAATGAAAAGCATATCCTTAGGTGACGTTTAAAAAAAATTGACCCTAGATGTATGGTTTTATTTTTGGGTTGTATTTATTTATGTCTATCCTTTTG